CCCCCTCTCTCTCTCCCACCCCAATTCCCATCTCTTCTCGTTTTTGCTTATTCTGCACCACTGGGGTAAACAGCTGAGCGGGGTTGGGGTAAGGCGAAAGAGTATACAAATACGAGAGAGCGCAGAGGCTCTCCGATGCCTTGAAGACTAGAAAAGTGCACGTGCCCTCAGTTGTTGTCCTCGGCGGGCCCTGTTTTCGCCCTTTTTCTTTTAGCTTTGTGCGTCTTTCTGCCTTTTCCCGATTCTCCCATTTGCTTGTCTGCCCCACCCCCATGCAGTCGGTCGGGCCGTGGGCCTGGAATATGCCATTCGCCCGGTGGAATCGTGGGTCCAGTGTGACTGACCGGTTTTGGGGGTTTTGTTTTTGGTACAATTTTGGGCTGCAATCTTTATCTTCTTTATACTTTGATCTGATTTACCTTAAAGGGCTGCGGACGGCATGTGTCGATCCCCCCCATCAACAAATTGGCAAGTAGCCAACAGGGCAGAGAGCGCGCCCGGGGGAGAGGCGCAGAGACCTTTTCTTTCCAGCGCGTAATCGATTGACTATGCCGTCGGTATCCCTTTAATTTGAGCAAGAGATTTTCAAGAGTCAGAATATCTCTGACTCTCTATCTCTCTCTTGCTCTCTCTCTCGCTCTCTCTCTGTCTCTCGCCCGCCCGCTCGCCCGCTCTCTCTTGCTCGTTCTTCCAAACCCTATACTTCCTAGAAGCCTATTCAAAAGAGAGAGGCAGAGACAGAGAGTTACAGTGAGAGAGCAACTATCTTAAATATAATCCTTAGAATCGCCTTATTTTTCACTAGCTCCTTTTTCTTATTTTCCACTTTTCGCCTCACCAACTAATCCTTGCCCCCTATAACCCCTATTTTGCACCTCCACCAACGCGTCTGTAGACCTGTTTTGTAGTCTCAAACTAAAATTGCGGTCTGTGAGAACGGTGCCCTCAATTTTCCGTTCTTTCCATTTCATTCCGTTGTCATCCGCTCCTTGCCGCTTACATGGACGTTTTGTTTTTCGGTCGTGAATATTTACGCCGTGCCCCTTTCCGAGTACTCCGCCTCGTTGACGGAATTCCGGAGTCCATAAGGGAAAACTTCCGTTTTCCTATTCATATCCCTTATTTTTACCTTGAAATTCGAGTCAGGATTGAACCAGGCTTCTTACGAATCACCTCTGGGCACCGGCTGCCTTTTGACAGATTTTTTATATTCATTTACATATTTTTTCATACATTTTCATTTTTGACTACAGTATACTTTTGAAAAGCTGTTTTTTCAAAAGCGCCCATCCTTTAAGCACTCCAAAAAATTCCCTCTCTGGCAAACAGCTTCTCCCCTCCCTCAGCCGTGTTGTTTTGGCCAGACAGCGGTCGCGGGATGGATGGCGCATCGATTCGTCATTTCGAAACATTTTGGGGGTTGGAAATTTGATACCCGAGAGTCGGGTGCGTTTGTCTGGTTTTTCCAAGTGTAGTATTTTTCCAAGCTCTTAGAGATGCCTGAGAGGATTTTAAAGATCTAAAAATACCTAAAATGTCACGAGAATATACGAAAATGAAAAATATGTGAATTTTTGATCGATTTCTAGCCGGAAGATTTGTTTATGCAACAGATATTCAAATTACAAACCCTTTGTCGATCCAGAATCGAAAAATGCACGGCACCAAAACCCACTACCCCCTTGCCGGACCACCGAATTTTTATGTGAATCCGGAATGGCCCGACCCGGCCCTCCGTACGGGGGTTCGTTTCTACACAAAGGTCAATCGGAGCCGATGGATGCCCTTCGAATAGGATGCGCCGTGCCCCGAAAAAAGGATGGGAACACACAAGGGCCCGATTCACTGCGCCTCGATCGGCACATGTGCAAATGGGCGGCGCGCGGCGTTTGGCACCTGGCCAAAATCTGGCCGTTCCCACCAGTATTCCGTATTTTACGCAGGTGTTACGAAACACGTCGTGGATCGGAGCGTACTGTAGTTTTTGGGGGAACTTCTGGTTTTGAGCGATATAAATCGAAGAACTAAAGCCCAAGCCTAAGCCCAAGCATAAGCCCATGTTTAACCAACGCCCAAGTCGTGGACTAAGCCTAAGCCTAACCTAAACGAAGTCTAATAAGCCTAAGCCTGAAACCTAAGCCTAATAGTAAGCTCGAAAAACCAGTTTTGAAGCTGACACCTTTAAAGCAACACCATTGCCCAAAATGTTCCCAGCCGCTCCTCATCAACCACTTTCTGCCCCCAAAATTCCCAAGGACCACCCCCTGCGAAACCGAAGCCCGTTTCCGAAATCGTTTCCTGCCCCTCCTGGCTTTGTTTCGTTCTCCTCTCTCGCTCTTTTTCTCCCCCGCCTTCATTTGGTGGGTGTTCCAAATTAATGGCCCTCCTCCGTCCTCGTAGCTTGTGTGAATGGCCGGTACAGGCCAGTGCCAGCCGGACCGTCCCGAGGAATGACTCGTTGCTCCGCCGGCCGCTCTTTGTGAGGCCGGGGGTTCGTTCTTGCCTGCATGCTGGGCCTTGGCTGTCCGCCACCAGCTGCGGTAACGAGGCCGTTCGTTTCTGGGGTCAGATTGGAACGTTTTTTTGGGTGGATTTGGACTCATTGGTCCGGGATTTATACCTTAAAGTTTGTTTTCACTTGAATCGTACCTTAGTTTCTTAGTTTTCCATCTTCGAGAATTTCCCAGTAGCTATACCCAATTGCAATATCAGTTTCTGCATAATTTACTATAACTTAAGATCGAATTTAAGGTATCGGGGTTAGCGGGCGTAGCCCGCTAACCCGTTTTGGTTTGAGGTACCCCCCCCATACGACTCTTTTGGGGTCCTTTTCCGGATTTAAAAAAGAACCAAGCATCGGATCGCAAAACTGAATACACCATCGGAACCGGCGACACTTTTTACATACTATAAGCTTTTAAAAATTGAAAAAGAGTGAAATTTCGAATTTTAACAGCCGATTTAAATTGCGTTTCGAGGGGGGGGGGGGTCTGCGTTTGTTTGTATGTATGTATGCCCGCAAAACCTTTGTAGTCGTCAAAAAGTGCCTTCCCATGGTCCGTTTGGGCTGAAATTTTTTACAGTTATTGGCTTGATGTAAATGAAGGTGAGGAAGAAGCGTTTTTTTCAAAATAGGCTTTTAAAAAATTTATATTTAATTTTTAAGTTTAAAAGCTAAATTGCGGCCAAAACAAGGGTTAATGATGTCCGTTTGGGCTGAAATTTTGCTCAAACATGCATTAGACCATGCCGGAAAAAGTAAAGAAGAAATTGCATCGAAAGAATGCTTCTTCTCTGAGATATTATAACTTTAAACCTTCGCCATACGGGGCGCCACCCTCCCCTTTGGCGGCCCCGGTCTCGGGTCAGGGCGGGCGGGTCTAGCTTCCCCAAGACAGGGCTCCAGTCTCCCCGTTGGCCTAGTGGTTAGCACGCTGTACTGGGAAGTCTTGCCCCACGGGTTCGAACCCCACCCGCAACATCCGTTTTGCCGATTGGCCCCCGTGCATCCTTATGGTTTCTAGCGCCGTTACAAAGCGCCGCAGGCAAATTTTTTTGAAGTTTTGCGTACAAGATTTCTCTGAATAAGTATTGATTGGCTTATTTTACGATCCTAACAATAAGATTGAGGCAAAAGGGCTAAATTCTCTCTAAGGCTAAAAAGAGTCTTTTTAAAAAAGGGCTTTTGGTTTTCGCAAAAAAGAGAGGAATTCTCGTGGCAACAAAAAGAGCTAAATTCCTTTCAAACTCTTAAAATGCCACAAAATGTGGGATCAACCAAAAGTTGCTGGCACCTTACTAAAATGGACAGATCCAGTTTCTAGCGGTTTCGGCTTGTAAATAATTTCTGTATTATGATCTATTTACTCGAAATTATAAGACTAAACTGTGGACCTGACCTGTGATCTGGGATGGTACCGAGTTTATTAAGATTTTAAATAGCCAGCAACTTTTTGTTGTTCCCGCATTTTGTGGCATTTTAAGAGTTTGAAAGGAATTTAGCTCTTTTTGTTGCCACGAGAATTCCTCTCTTTTTGCGAAAACCAAAAGCCCTTTTTTAAAAAGATGTATATTGCATCTTAACGCAAAAATTTAGCTTATATTAACATTATCGAACTGAAGCTACATGCTTTCTATCTTTGCCTAGTACGTTACGCTCCGTTTCCGGAAAATATTTACGCATATTACCTACCCTCTATTTTCCGAGCTTTACTCTGAACGCCTAATCCGGAGCCCATTATCAGCGGTCCCTTTAATCCACCCCCGCACGCGCCTCTATTTTTCAGTCCGTGATTCGCCCCTCTCGGTCGCGTCGAGACCTCAAAACAAGGGCTACCGTACCCCCGTGCAGGGTTGTGTGAGAGAAAAGGCGAACTGAAAAACAGTTTTGTTTCTTTCTCTAATTTTCACGTTATTTCTCTCTCCCGCTCTCTCTCTCTCTCTCTCTCTCTCTCTCTCTCTCTCTCTCTTTCTTTCTCTCTCTCTCTCTCTCTGGCTCTCTTACTATCTCTCTCTCTCGCTGAAGATGACGTCGTGATTGCGTGTATTCTCGCTTCTCTAATATCATCAACGATCTGCTGTAGACGATCCATTTTCTAGCCTACAAAGTCAACCCGCTGACGACACATTCTGAATCTTCTCCATCGACTGATAAGCTGAAACTTCGTGGAAGCCAAATTTTGGAAAATCGAACCCTAAACCCTGTCCCATCTACCGTACCCCGCGGATCGCGTGGCGAGGATGACGGAAGTGAACAGCTACCCTTCACAGCATCACATGTTTAACTGGAATCTGATCGACAAGATGAGCCCGAAAATGAGCCCGACGGTAGTGTAGGGTGTCTCAAAAACCAGCAGATAAATTTTGGGTTTGGAGTGGGGGACTTGAAAAGTACCGGAAAAAATGGGGGGTTTGTCCAGAAAACGCCTCAAAACCCCGCTAAAACTAAATGAGGAGAAAATGGAGAAGTTTTAAAGGGATCACTAACCCAATTTTTTCAGGCCCCAATGAGCACCCCCGATGACCCGGTGATCCACAACAGTCCGCCATCTCTGCGCGGACTTTCTCAGCAAGGACAGCAGCAACTCCAGCAAGGAGGTGAGCAGGGCTTCTTGGGGAAATGGTCTAGGTTTTTGTCGATGATCCAAAGTTTACGCTCTCTTTTAGCTTGTTGAAAAAATTCCGTGGGGAAATTTGAGCTAAGCGGAGCCATGTTCATGACTTTCCAGTCCCTTTAAAATCCTGCACATCCCAAAAAAATTACTTTTCTCTCGATCCCCCTCCATCTAGGGGAGGGGGAATCCCGCTCCCCTTTGCAGACTCCCCGAGCCCTTCCGTGTTACATTCTGGAGCCCGCGTCCGGAGCGGGGGCACACCGGCAAAATATTTCTCGAGTTCTGCATCCGTCTTTTTTTCTTTCCGCGTCGTCTGTCTTTCTGTCTGTCTGTCTGTCACGGGGCCATGGAGCCGGAGCGCAACCGGTAAAAAAAACATTGATCGCATAGAGAGCGGTGTTAGAGAGAAAAAAATGACAATTTTAAGGTGAGAAAAACGGGATTTTTGTCGGAAATATGGTAGTTTATCAAGAACTCTCTCGTTTTGTTTCACTTGTGCATTAATAGACGATCAAATTCTAGAGAGAGATAACCGCGAGATAGAGACAAAGAGAGAGAGAGAGAGCGAGAGAGAGAGAGAGAGAGCGAGAGATCGAGAGAGAGGCGAGAGAGATAGAGAAAGAGAGAGAGAACCAGAGAGCCATCACCATAAAGTAAAGGAGAGATCACCAGCTCCCCTCGCCATTTTTTGGAGGCTTGTTATTGCGTGTGTGCTGCGTCTGGGTATGTGCGTGTAGTCTGTTTGTATCTATCTCCCCACTCTTCCCCACCCGTGTATAGACACCTCGCGGACTCGCCGCAGCCCCGGGGACAACACCCTCTTATTGACAGGGTGTGGAGTGTGTGCGCCCTGGGCAGCCCGCGCGAAGCGCATGTGGGGCCTAGGCGGCCCGAACCAACATCCGCACCTGCATCAAGATTTTCTGGCTTCTTCAGGCTATGGCGATACGGTGTCGCAGTCGGAGAGCCGCACACCGAGCTGTGATTCGCCGGGAGCGGAGGGGAGCGCTGATGTGAGTTTTTTTAAATCCTTCAATTTAATGTTGCTATCGTATAAAAAATGAGGCTTAGGTTGAAGCTTGGATTTAGGCTTAGGCGTAGGCCTGAGCTAGAGCTTAGGCTTGGCCTTGGCTTAAGCTCCGTATTTTTTTACTACAAATTACAGTAATATACCACTACCGAGGCTAAATACCTCTGTTTTTTCAGGAGCGCAACCGCCGTTCAAAGACTTGCCGCGTCTGCGGAGACCATGCTACCGGCTACAACTTTAACGTTATCACCTGCGAGTCGTGCAAGGCGTTTTTCCGCCGCAATGCGCTCCGCCCGAAGGTGAGGAGTTTGATAGGCTTATACAGGCATTAATGGAAGTCCAAAATTTCACTAGTCTGACTATTAATGCTCAAATCAATCCGCCCAATTTCCCAATCCCTTTAATACTCAGGTTCAGGAGTTCAAATGCCCGTACTCGGAGGACTGCGAGATCAACCCGGTGAGCCGGCGATTCTGCCAGAAATGCCGACTCCGAAAGTGCTTTACGGTATGTTGACGGCTTGTCGAAACCAATGAAATTCTTAGGTTGGCATGAAAAAGGAGTGGATCCTGAATGAAGAGCAGCTTCGCCGGAGAAAGAACTCGCGCCTCAACCACACGGGGAGCCAGAAGAGCCTAAAGTGCGGCTCGCCGACACACAGCTTTGGTGGGGCCATGACGCCGCCGAAGCCGATGACGATCGTCTCGCCCGAACAGGTAAGTGGTTTTTAGGGTTTTAAAGGACTTGGTAAGGCAAGTAGGGCTATGGATCTCCGCTGAAGTCTTATTGGGTCAGTGTCTATAGGTGGCCGCAATGTCCCACATCAGTTACGCAATGGAAAATCGATCGGCGCATTGCTTGTCGCGGCAGCTCCAAAATCCATAGACTTTTCATGCCTTGTCAATCCATATAGAGCACCTTGAATAGAAATACATTGAATATTTTGCGCTTTTCAGCTACAATTCGCCACCCCGCAGAACCGGCTCGAGATGACGCCGCCCATGATCAGCCCCAGCTCGACTTCAGTGAGTTTTTTAACTTGTTAGATGCAATTTTAAAGGGCCAGAGACAGGGATGAGACACTAATACTTCCCCTCATTATAAAAATATATACCTTAAGTATGTTAGGCTAGAACTTGCGTTTCAGTACGTGGTCTCACCGCCGGGTTCGCTCTCCGGCACGCCCGTATCCCCTCCGTCCACCGGAATTCTTACCCCGACCACCAACGCGGTGAATGATGTGAGTTTTGTAGCGGAAATGGCTGTCAATTTCTGGTTAGCAACGATGAAAAATAACCGCCGTATTTCAAATTGTATTTTCCTGGATCGCCCACAAAAATTCTTGACACCGTATCTCCTTTCGAGATCGACTGGGTTACGGTAGTTTCCGAGGCGTTGCGTCTATCGTTAACTCACTATTTTTGTAGCACGTTTTTTGGAGTGTACTGTTTTTCGGAAAAATTTTTACAGCTTTGGCACTTTTTGAGTCCTCAAATGACAGCTCATTTTTTAAGCTCTAAGAATATCACAATTTCGGTTGTACTGCTCTTAATTCAATCAGCTTTCTTAAGCATCAGAACTTCCAAAATCCAAAGTGTACATCCCCAGTTGCGAAAGGTTGTTTACCGGGTGCACGCCGCGTGCGCCGTTCCCCCAGCATTGATGCCGCGGGGACCCCGGGTGGTGTTCCGTTTTTTGCCGTGTTTTTGACTGGTCGGCCGGCCCGGGTCGGCTAGACGAACGTGTACACAACCCAGGGGTCGGCGACCCCAAAAAAATTCGTGGGAGGGGGGGGGTGACGCGCTAGAGTTGTGGGGCTCGGGGCAAAAAACGCTCTATGCCGATGGGAATGGGAATGCCACATCAAAAGGACACCGGTAGTTTTAAACCGAAAAAAATGCATGCAAATTGGGCGAGGTGGAATTTTAATTTTGCTTTGTGGACGTTCAGGGGGAGACTGTAGGAAAAGCAAGGATTACGTCAAAATATTCTAAAAATTTTTGAATTTTAAATTTTCCGAAAAAATCAGTCAATTATCCCTAATATAAACACCTTGGATAATAGATCTTTTCCAGTACGAGCCGAACCTGCTGCTCCAGCAGCGGCTCGCCCAGCAGCGCCTCAGCAGCCTCAGCATGAACACGCCATCCCCGGTGAATATGCCAGCCACCGTGAGCAGCCCAATGGGGATGGGCACGAATACCCGGATGGACCCAGTGCGTAGTAACCAGGTAGCTTTAGTGTTAGAACTCACCCTGATTAGTATCTTCTTGCACACGCTGCTTCTTTACCCCGATTTTATTAGTACACGTTGCACCGCTTCCGAATATTGGGTTTGATTTGGGGTCCGAGGGGCTGGAAATGGCCTTAGAAATTGCCTTAAAATTAGCATAAAACTAGCTGAATTTTATATATAAATTGTAAGTCTAATACAGTCAAAATAAATTATTTTTAAATCAATTTTTTAAATCCTGAACAGCGTTTAAATTAAAATTTTACAATTGAAATTTTAACCAAATTACCTGAATTTTGCAAAAATTGGCAAATTTCTAGTTTTTTGTGACTTTGTATAGTCGCGAAAACAATAGTACAAATTAGCTTAGACTGAATTAAGGAAACTAGGCGGATTATCGTAGCCGTCGCAATAAAAACACAAATCATTCCCATTTTTTGACGACCCTTTTCCACAATTTCCAGCCCCCCGACCCGATTTTAATTATTTTCCGCAAACCTGCACCTTTTATTAGAGGTGGTGGTGATACGACAAATTCCCTTACACTTCAATTTACACCACCGCCCCTCTCGTATCATGAAATTTTTAAGATCACCCTCTCGATGGAGGAGTACTCGCAACTGCTCTTGGCTGCCAAGGGAAATGGGGACGTTCAGACGCCACCAGCCTCGATGGATGAGCCACCAGCAAAGAGGTAAGGTGAAGTTTGTAGTATTAAAATCTGCACCTCGATATTTTGCATTAATCTCTTGTTAATGCTTAGGTTATGATAATATTTTCAGAGGCAGCTTTGGGCAGGGAATGATGGCAAAGCCTTATATCACTCCGATGGCTCCGGTTACGACAATGCCGATGCCAGGTAAGAATTAGAGACGGAGCGCGAGAGAAACAAAGAGAGAGAGAGAGAGAAAGAAAGAGAGAGAGAGAGCGAGAGAGAGAAAGAGATAGCGAGAGAAAGAGAGAGAGCTAATCGGAGCTAATCGGCACAGTTTGAATGGGCAAAATTGTAGCGCAGAATAGGGACCGTAGCAGGTGCAAAATCCAAATTTGGAATTTGGCTAGCAGCGGTAATTTCCAGGCCTCTTATTAAGATTTATGGGCTTCTAAAACCATACGTTTACTGCTGTTTGGACACAAACTCTGATATATAAATTTCCCATCGCATGTCGCGTTCGGCTTATCACAATAACGAGCAGCCTTAAACTTCCGGCATTCCGAAGAAAACTTCTAATTCGCCTTCTATTCCAGTGATCCAACCCGGCTTCCCCGTCCCCAACGAGGCCACCCCACCAATGAGCAGCTACCAGGAGCGCATGAGCAACTACTTTGATCAGACGATCATCGATGCCCTGAACGTCGACAGCCCTGATGGCCCATCAGACTCTGGTGCCATGCAGCCCGATGGTGTAGGTTTTACGATTTGCACGCTGACACCGATGAACGAGACAAAAGTAGGCTGTTAAATTTTCTAGGGACTTCCGGCCTACAAGTCTTTGCTGAAAATATGTAATCCTGTTTTTTTCAGTGCGATCTGAACCGCTCGCTGCCGCGTGCCAACTACCAGCTCAACATTGCGGAGCTGCGTGAGTTGGACATGGTCAGGAGCGCATTTTCGGGGATGAACGAGCCGATTGACCATGGCAAGCCGATGCAGACGTTCATGAAAAATGATGTGAGTAGCATGACATCGAGTTGAAGGCGCTCAGAAAAGATTTGACTTCGCTAGTGCCCAGTTTTTTGTCATCCTAAACATCTTCAAGACGTTCACTTATTGCTCAAATCACTCCACCCAAAAAGTTATTTTTTCAGAAAAACCCCACCGACATCATGAACATCATGGACATTGCCATGCGTCGCATTGTCAAGATGTCGAAGAAGCTGCCCGCCTTCAACGAGATCAGCCAAGACGGCAAATTCGCGTTGCTCAAGAGCGGCATGGTGGAGATGTTGACCGTGCGTGGGGTCCGGCGCTACGATGATAGGTCGAACTCGTGGAGCACGCCGTCGCTGTCAACGGAGTACAAGGTAGGCCGTCAAAACATTCGGTGATGGATTTGACTTCACAAGACTTTTAAAAACAGCTCTTAATCACTCGTTTCTAGGTTCCTCTCGGAATGTTCGATCGCCTGAAGGAGGGCGTCTGCGAGCTCCAGAAAGAGCGTTTCGTGTCGCTGTACAAATTCTTCCACGAGGACCTGCGCCAGAATGAGCTCGCCCTGGACTTGTTGATGTTAATGGTGCTCTTTACGTAAGTTTCTACTGGCTTTAACTGATCTAAAATCCATTTATAGGCCCCGCCCAACCATCAAAAACCCGCGCGACCTCCATCTCATCCAGCGCCAGCATAGCGATTATGCCGCGCTGCTAAACCGGTGAGTAAAAATACTTATAGTGGTAAATGTTGGGAGAATTCTATTTTTGAACCAATTTAACTCGTTGTTCAGGTACCTCGAGTCGATCTACGGCGACGACGCGCGCAGCTTCAATGACCAGATCCCGCGCATCATGGAAAAGCTGCGACTCGCCGCCCAGAATACGGCAGCCCTCTTCACCGGCAAGGTCAACAAAGGTGTGTTTTTGAGCTTAAGCTTTGTTAAACCTAAGTCTAAGCAGCGGCCTAAGCCCCAGCCTAAGCCTCAGACTAAGCGTAAGCATAAGTCTAAGTCTAAGCATATGCCTGAATTATTTTTCCTTTCCAGACGATGCCGAGCCACTGGCCAAGGAATTCTTCTGCAACGACAGTTAACCCGGCGGCCGACCGTACTACGGAGCGTTACGGAATTTACTGGATTCCGCCTGATTCCTCTAGGCTACTCCTTACGTCCCTTTTTATCCACTAGTGTCTTAGCTTCTTCGTTTTTGGGCTTTTTTTTGATCGTTTTGTTCCGTGTAGACGTTCGTATTTTTGTCGGAAGTTTGATGAAGCGGAATAACTTTTTTAAGGCAATAAATACAAGAAAATTCTTTTTGATGCTTCTTCCGATTTCCGGTCTCTTCTCTGGTTCCCCCCCCCCCATCCTCCATAAAATCGAACCTCACTCCCTGTCCCTTCTGTTCGAATGTGGCATTTCTTCCCGGAACCGTAATCTCATGGGGCCGGCCAGTTTTTCAATTTTTTGCCCTTTTCCCCCTGGTCGACCCCCGGAACTCCATTATAAACTACCTCAAAAAGATGACCCCGACTACCTGAGCATTTTTGGCGTTTTCTATATTTCGTTGTTTTTTTTTGCTTTTCCACTCTACCCCCGCAAAATATCGACATTACCTCACGCTGCTTGGCTTCATCCACCTGAAGCCGAGCAAAAATAATAATAACATCCTCACAAATTCAAATTAAACCTTTTCGATACCTCTACAGTCTTTTTTCGCTCTTTTTCGATGTTTTTCGATATTTATCGATTTCGTCCCCACAAAAACCTGGCAAGCTGCCAAATTTTCTATTTGCTTCCCGAACCCTTTGGCCGCCCCGGTTCCTTGCCCGTCTGGTTAAAAACTGTTTTTGTCGCTTTTTCTCGGTGTTTTACATTTTTTAAAAACCCTGAATTCCCTGTGACGGCAATTAGTGCAGACCCCAACCCGAAAACTGGTCCCGCCCCGATCATTTATCCAATTTTTCGATATATCGAGTCAAGCCCCGGATTTTCTTAAGTTTTTTGTTTTTATTTGGGTTTTTGGAGGTTTTTAGATACTTAAAACTAGCGTGAAAATAAGGAAAACTGTTTAGGAACCTCCAAAAAGCGACTTCATCTTATTTTTTTGATTTCCGGATCTCCCGCGCCCGTCTGAATTGTTTATGATCGATTTAGCTAGCGATAATTGCAACCCCCCAAATCCCACAATGTTGAAAATTACACCCGAATTTTTCTTGATGGTGTGAAATAAATTTCTTGGTTAGAAAGCGGTCTATTATGCACCGCAAAAAAAGACAAGCAATTCGCGGGGCAGATAGCCCGGGGAAACGCGCTGGGAATTGCCTGGAAACGACGAAAAATGCGATTTTTAGCTTATAACAACCTGGGATTCCGATAGATTTCAAATTCTGAAGAAAATCCCTATAATGGACGCTTATACCGAAAAGATACTCGAAAAAAGGGCAATACGACGTCGAAAGGAGACAATATGCAAATTTTTCTATCAAATCTTCACCAGCTTTTTGACGATTGGGGCGCTGGCGCTGTTGTTGTGGTGGATG